ATTGGAGACGGTTTCCCTCTCCAGCATCTTCAATGTGCCCCACTCAATGATCTTGGAAGCTAACATCATTGATGGTGAGGCCTGCCTTAATCTTGAAGCAAATACTTTTTGGTCCAACGCTCATTATCCACTAATCAAAACTTGATTAAGACCCCTATAATCAATTTTATTAGTTTGAAAATCAGCCATCTTTATATAATAGTGTTGGGATACGATAAGATCCTTTTGCATGCCTTTGACACCTACTTTTCGTAACACATTGGGGACATGAACTTTATTGTCGCCACGTAAATCCAATAATTTTCGTCTATTGGAACAAGCAATAGGAATATTTTCAAATAATTAAAGTAATATACTATGAAAAAGAACCTTATCTCTTTCATATAAATAATGGGTGGGTGCTTATGCGCATGGGAAAGAAATGGTCGGTATTGATCGGAAGCTTGCGGTTTGGACTATGATCTTGTATTTACTTTGGCTTGTACGTGCACGTGCAATACCATCCGTTTGTCAATGTTGTTACGTATATATGTTGGGATTTTCCGAAGAGAAGACAAGGGTATGGGGACAAGTTGGAGGGTCTTTAATCATTGTCTTGGTCCTCGCTTGCTTTTTGATTCTTGTGGACAAAGAACACCAACACTTTAATAATGCGACACTTCATAGGTTGTTGCAAGGCATGGAAAAAGCCTCAATAATGGCATGAGAGTTTTGACTTCTCCAAGTTTCTGGCTCACTTTGTGTGTACCGATTTCCTACATGAGATTTTCCACAAGCGATTCGTAGAAAAAAGGGATAACGACACCAGAAGTATATGAACTTCATCCATTTTATAGTCCAATACCTAAACAGATTTTTTGCTCGATCAAGTATCTCAACTTTACAAATTTGGCTCAATGTGAGGTATCTGTTAAATAAATTACCATATTGTGCGATTTTGCTACCGAGGCTCTCTTACTTAGCAAAAGCTAAGCACAATTACTGACATGGCTCCTATACTCAACCAAAATAATATCATTGCCATTTAAATGTTGGGTGATGAGGAGGGAGAGAGAGCGTTGATTTGGACAATATTGGCCGTCCATATTGACGTGATATCATCTCAAGAGGCCATATCGGATGCTAATGAAGTCGGTTAATGACTGTTTAATGGCACTAGTATACACGTTGGCAGAGAAAAGTGTCAAAAAAGTCCTAAACCTTTTGCATTTGTGCCAATTTAGTCCTAAACCTTTTTTTGGTGCTAATTTAGTCATAAACCTTTTGCATTGATGCCAATTGAGTCCTAAACCTTTTTTTGGTGCCAATTCAGTCCTAAACCTTTTGTATTTGTGCCAATTTAGTCCTAAACCTTTTGCATTGGTGCCAATTTAGTCCTAAACCTTTTTTTGGTGTCAATTCAGTCCTAAACCTTTTGCATTAGTGCCAATTCAGTCCCTCGACACGTGAATAGCTATTAGCCGGAAGGATTGAATTGGCACTAATGCAAAAGGTTTAGGACTGAATTGGCATCAAAAAAAGTTTGAGGACTGAATTGGCACATATGCAAAAGGTTTATGACTGAATTGGTACCAATGTAAAAGGTTTAGGACTCAATTGGCACAAATGCAAAAGGTTTATGACTGAATTGGCACTAAAAAAAGATTTAGCACTAAATTGACACAAATATAAAAGGTTTAGAACTTTTTTGACACTTTTTCCCACATTGGCAGTTTCTGTCCTCAATTTTAATATTGAAAAGTTCAGGCACTTGATTGACCAAAAAAATGTTTTAGGTACTTGATTGTAAAACGGACAAAAGTTCGGATGCCGGCAACGTTGTTATCCCCACAAGAAAGAAAAGGAGGAGAAAAGAAAAGAAACTTACTTTACCCAGTATCGTGCTAGATATTCAAGCTAACACAATACAAACTAACAAAGGAAGACCGCACGAAATTGAAAACACATCTGAAATTTAGAGTAGTCTTAAGAGCTAGGCCTATCACCCTTGTAGAAGGAGCCTTGCCTGATATAGCGAAAGTCTATTTTCATTCGTAAAAGTAGTTTAGATTGTAACTTGCTTTGGTTGGTCCGAAAATATTTCGATCTTAATCAAGGATCTGATTTCTCCGTGTATGTATATGGTAAAACGTTGGGCACGCTTGATCCTGTATCAAACACTACGTTGATCTTTCGTTTAGATTTAGATACGTGTATAAACCCAACCGTCATTCTCAGTTCTCACCACCCACTCTCTTCTCCATCTGCCTCCTCCACATCACAGTCAAGAACTTATCTGAACGCCAGCGCCACTTGCTTCCAGCCACGGCCACCTTCTCCACAGGTGCCTTCGCCTCAGCCACATCTAATTTGTCAGCGAGCTAGATGTGTTGGTGTGTCCATGTCGAGGTTGGAGAGAGAGAGAGAGAGTATGTGTGATTGGTCGGACTGTGGAAAACCCAGTAACGTCCGTGACCTCGGGACTGCGACAGTGGTGAAAGGGGCTCTCTCCGACAGTTGCGGTATTAGGATTGATACTAGTGAGTGTCATCAGGTGTGTGGTAGAAAGACAGGTATCCAGTTTAAGTTGGTTGAGCGAAGGGTCGTGTTGGGTAAGGGGCCTACCCATCTTTTACCATGTTTATATGTCTTATCGCATGAAGTTTTGAGATCTTGTAGGGTTTTGCATCCCCTACCATAGCATCCGATGACGCAGCATTGACAACGGGGGAGCAAACAGATGAAGATGGTGGATAGAGCAGCTAGGATGTAACAAGTGCCTATGCCATTAGCTCTTGAATACCCATAATAAGTTAAAATACAGTAAAGAGTCTGACGCTCATTTGCTGCAGAATTCATGCAAAATATGATCTTTTCATTATTCTATTTTTGTGGAACATGAGGGCCCAGGTCGGCGTGTGAGGGCATGCGCTTGCAAGGACAAAGAAACAAGCATGGCCAACAAGAAGATCATAATTCTCTTGTCACCAAGGGGAGGATGAATGAAAAAAAAAAACAGGGCATGATTGAAAATGGCTTTTACATCAAATGCAGCCAAGCTCTGTCTTGTCTTGTCAAGAGCCATTGCACGCTTGGCGTCGACCCATCAACTGCATCTTTTTGTTTTTGCCCTAAGGATTTATGTTCATCTTTTTGTCTATTTTATGGAGATGAAGCCTGCTTTAGTTATAGGGAAATTCCAAACTCATAAGATACCCCAAGTGGATTGGGTTAGAGATGCGAGCATAAGTTCCGACGGATGCCCGAAATATGATATCATTTGCAATGGATGATGTGGGGGAATTGAACCTTGTCCTGCGCATAATCCACACATGCATAAGTTGGATCCTCAACTGCTAAGCTATGGCAGATGGCCTAAATATGGAACCATTTGCATTAAGTGGTGTGGGAAATAGAACCTATGTCGTGCGCCCAATCCACACATAAGTCAAATCCTTAAATACTAGGGCCAATTTCAGGATGTTGAGGTGAAATCCAATATAATAGATTTTCAGTTCATTTAGCAAGGCATAAGCAGAACCGAATCTTAACAAGTTCCCATGTCTTCTTAAATCAAAATGAATCTCGAAATTTAAGCCAACCGTTTCTGTTAAAGCTAAACCACATAATTGATTTCATAAAACTCCTAAGGAATTCAAAGGGCGATAAACTAATATGGAGAAAATGGGGAAATTACCATGATACTTACTATATCATTTACCTACAAGATTTCAACATCACTTTTTCTTTTTGGTCAGATATCTACTTCACTTGACTACCTCGGCACTAGACGGGATTTTTTTTTTTGTTTGGTCAAAACTAGACAGGGGATTTACCAATCGCCAAAAGATAACTACTCACTTTGTTGCTTTCTTAAAGTGTAATTCCTAGTTTCTCAAAAGATGATAGAACCAGAACATTTTAACTTAAAGCAATCGCCAGAGAGAATCATCCCTTTCTCTTTTCCCTGTATTTCAATGCCGAGAATGGCAATACATTTCGAATATTTCAATCTGGGCATATGTTAACTTCGTAATATGCAAGATCAGGATGTTGCAAACCCCGAATTTATAGCAATGGAGGTTTAAGAGTCAACTTCTGTGACGCCACAAGTTGTCGTTCTAGGTAGCACTTGGATTTTACTGTTTGATATCTTGCTCTGGTACTATTTGTATGCTCCATTTTCAAGCCTAATCCCCCGAAGAAGTAAGCGAATGATAACCATTTGATATCAACCGTCTGATTAACTATATACCAGTTGGATCGCTTCGAACTGGACTCTCGACCGGAAAACCAGCTACTAACTATATAATTCATTCAGACAAAACTAAAAGATTACATTTAAAATTAAGATCAACTCACAAATCAGAGTAAAGCTGCCAAGAACCATTTAGACTTTCTTATTTTTTGTTTTTCCATCTTCAATGTGTCTTGGATAACACACGTTCAAATGAAAGAGCAAAGGATGCATCTACATGACAATTTCTTCAACAGCCATAGACTCGTTCATAACATAGCATAGTTTGTATGGAGTGGGATGACTCCCACGCTCGAAAGGCACACATCCCATTCTTAGCAATAAAACGGCAATCAGAAGAACAAGAACAATGTGGTGATGTGATAACTAGGGAATAGCTGCATGGCCCAGAGAGGAAATACTGTTGACCATCTGAATCATCATCCTCTGCGCATACATATAATTCTCATGCGTGTTCGTGCGCATCTGTTCACTTTGTAAGTGAATATCCCCACGATGGAAGTCCTACTGTGATCGAAAGTCAACCACCACCAGAGAGTCATGCAAAGATAAAAATAAGCACATGCTAGCACACACATGAATAGAAAGGTGCATCTCCGTCAACAACATATAGGTTTTTATGTAAATGCCAGCAACCTCTTCGAATGTCACAGCTCGACCACACTCAGAGATCTCAGTAAGGAGAGAATATGACAAGGCGAGAGTGAATTAACCAATGAGTACACCGACTGATGGTTCTTTCAACGCCCTTGATCAATTAATGTGACATATATATTAGAGTCATAACAATGTATATGCTAAGAGAAAATCGCCCGCACTAGTTTCTTTACCCCATAGCTTCAGAACTGCGCTGAGCAAATGACAACTGAGATTTGCTGTATTGTTGTGTATGTTATCAGTGCCTGTAAGCGATTCAGAGAAGCAAGTTGATTAGAGAGAATTGGCAAACAACTTGGGAAAAGAGCTAGCAGAATGGAAGTCTTTATGAGCATGCCAGAACCATTGATACATACAAACAACAAAGGAAGCATCTAGGGCTTAGAAAATCTTCTACTCGTCCCTTCGAATTGATGAGGTCATACAAACTTCTACATTTCATCATCCTGCCTTTTCTCCTATGGCGTCACTTCTTCGCGTTGCCTTGCATCAACAAATAGAGGAAAGAAGTATAAACTTCCAATAAAGATAGTTTGTGAATATGAGATGCTGACACCAACAAACCACAAAAGGAGTTTGAGATGACAACTCTCAACTGAAAAGTGATTCGATAGCAATTCAACATATTAGCATGCATGCATAACGTAGCTGCTGGATATCAAGAGAAGGTTTTCCTTTCTGTATATTCCCCTTGTAAAATTTATTTTCTTTCCATTGGTGCATGGAACAGATTCTAGAAAAATCTTATGTTGCAGTAGAAGCCTCAGAATCAGATACAGGTAATTGTACGAAAACCTCTTTCACTACAACAATTAAAAAACTCCAATTACTTCACAAGTAAAATTTTAGCATGAACAATACTCCACTTGGAAGTCAAAAACCAAAACCATTAATATTGCTAATGTGAAGATAATTTCAACAAGCTACATGATGGCATATGAGAATCTTTATTTCTTTAACTGATTTGACATATCCCTTTTTTCGCTATTGTCAATCAAATCAATCTACTTTGTGATCTTCCAATCAGATCATTCTTTTTCTTTCCGTTGGAAATCACACTAATGCTCTTCCAAATAATAGAGAGCCGATTTGGGAAGTCAAATTTGAATGCAATGTCACATCTCTCGTAGTGACAAAAACCAATGCCAGCCATACTTTCGCCACCATAATCCAGATACATCTCCTTCTATTCCAATTTTGACCCACTTTGACCAGTTAAAAAGCCAATCGATTTCCAGAACACAGCACTGGCTTAGTAGGAGAGTAAAAGCAACTAAAACCACAGAATTCTGGGAAATCAGTCCATAAGAGACAACATGTCTCCCCAATAACAAGGGTACTATGTTGTCAAGCATCAAGGGAAATATTGCACTCAGTTGCTTTCTTCATAACAGAAGTCTGACTGAGCAGCTTCTCCTTGACGTTGCCAAAGAAATAATTGGTTTCATTCCTAGGTATTGTCAAGTTCCTTCCAAGTGCAGGCTATGGGTGCTCCAGACCAATCTATGGCTTAAATCAGATAAGATGTATGGCAGCTAGCTCATTGTAAGAGATACCACCTTTACTATAACATTCAATTTGAGGTCAGTTTTGTGCTCTAACGTGTTTGACAAAGCCCCCTGAATAAAGCATACTCCACTGACTATCGTGGGAACGAATTAGAATGCAAAAAACAGGTATGAGAATCCAGAAAGGGCAAAAGAAATCCAACATCATTCTACAGTTTTGTGTGTTTTATTAGTGTGGCTTGAACAACTCAAAATAGCATACAGATACCATCACCAAATTATTTGTTATAATTATAAACCAAAGAAAAGCTGATACTTTTGCATCATGCGAATCATATGAAATGGCTAATGAATACAATACCTCAATCACAGTATCCTCGTCAACTTAGTTTTAGTGGTTCACCCTAAGGCACACTAACACATACTTCCACAACCCTAAAACAGTAGCCAAAGAAACTATGCAAGTATTCGAAAAATAATAGGACATTGCAAAGTAAAAATAACTGTGATCATTCACAATAGGTTGATCCACTATAAAATAAAATAAAAAATAATAAAATAAGCTAAGTTACAGGACTGACTACATATTCATAAAAGCAACGACCTACCTCTTTAATGGTCCTTTCTTCAAATGAGTATCCAGACATGCCTTTATGTCCTCAAGTGTCATACCATTCTCAAGACTCGACTTCAATAAATTGGATGCATCTAGATGTGAGGCAGAACCAGCCAAACCAGGGATTCCTTCCAAATCCTTAACCTTCCCTTTGAGATGCTCCATTAAAATCATCCCTATAAAGCACCCCAAAAAATAAAAACAAAAAAATTAGGTCAGAATGCATATATTAAACCAAACTTTCATGCATATGAGCTATAAAAACTTATTGAAGACTGAGAGAATGGAGACATATGAATGACCCATTTAAGTCAAGGCTACAACAGCAACATCACATGTGATGACAGAAAGCAACTGATGCAGGAACATTATTGATCTCTTTTAGTATTTTAAGTGTATTCTTTTTAACAAGTCTTATATCAAGTTTTTAGGCCAATAAGCAGAAATGTAGTAGTCATGTCACTTTTAATGAGCTGCAATGGTCAAGCTTAAAAATTATTATGTTAGATCAAGGGTGCACAAGTAGGCCTTTTACTCACTTTGTCATTAGTTTTTCCTCATTCAACAAACATCATTGATTTTTATAAATCCTAGAATAACCATTCTCTGTTCCATCTTCAAGTTGTTTTAATTCTTTTTGCTATCTTTCAATTCTCCGACCTCATCAAATTGGTATTAGATCCCCTTGTTACGGTTTTCCTTTATTAATTGGTATTAGAGCTACAACGATTCCAACTTGCAATTACGGTTTTCGTTTCGACATGATGGTCGGACGGGGAAGAGGTCATGGAAGAGGCAATCAAGCTCAACAAATAGAGATGGCTGAGATGCGATGTATGATTGAAGACTTGTTGCAGGCTGTTCAAACTTTGCAGTGACAGGAAACTGTGAAAGCCCATATGAAGAATCCAGAAGGTCACTGCGATCCTGGACATGCCGGAAGGTGGTTTCAAGGATGATAATAATAATATTTGATGAAAATCCCTTTCATGATGCCAGACCAGAGAAACGTGGATTGGAAGAGCTACTGCATCATGCCTTAGATCATGATGAAGAGATCTATCCTTTCCGTGAAGATTTTGACAATGAAACAACAACAGTTACATGAGATGATGACATAAGTCATGCAACAATTGTACGGGATTGACTATGGTGATCAAGACAAAGCGTTTGCAGTAAATTTACTGGCAGAAGATGGAATTGTCAAAAGTACTGATGGTTCAAGTGAGCCGGGGAAAAGTCTTTCTGAAGGTTTTGATTCAGTTACTTATCAATATGCAATAGGTATTAAAGAAGAAGATGAGCAAGCATGTGAAGGAAATGCTGGCTAATTTAAAGAAGAAGAGAGAGTATTGTTCATGTTGATGATAAATTTTGTCATTCCTGATCAATTTGAGGGTTTGAGTGAAAGTATCAATTGGCAAGCTTTCGGGAAGCAAGAAAACTTCGATTGCTTTGATGATGGGATTCGAATATTAGTGATGATTGGAAGGAATCCGCTACATCAAGGCCGAGTTTTCTCCAATCAAAGAATAATACTTACTAGGAATGGTACTATGGATGGAAAGTTCCCAATGAAATGGTTCGGTAAATCTGGTACCTTCCTTGGATTTTGGCAGAGGAGATGAAGAAGGTTGATCCAGAGACACGCTTAGTTCGTCAATGTTTTCAACACTAAGCTTGACTCTCTCCAACCCAGGGAGAATGACGTAGGAGCATAAACTTTATTTGTATTTTTAAGTGTTTTGTTCTTTATTGAGTCTTTAAATATGTTATTAGGTTAAAAAACACTCATGTCCCAGTCATGTGGCTTTTAATAAGCTCCAATGGTATAGATTAGAAGTAGTTATGTTAGATCAAGGGTGTATAAATAGGTATTTTAGCCCTGTTTTTGTTCCTTTTGCTATATTTTGCTTCTCTGACTACATCAGCTACTACATCTAAGTAAACTTTAATGTCCCTAGCAATGAAAGACCAACAGAGAAGGACATAACATGTGCAATAAGCACCTACATATGGTCCCTACCCAAATATATGAGAAGCGCAAATTTTAAAAAGCGCAGGAGGAGCAAAACTCATTCCTTATTCAACTCAAAAAGGTTTCCAACAGGAATTAGATAGCATCACTACTGAACCTGGAAAACACAATAGAGTTGGCATAGGTTTCAAGGACTTTATACATATATATAAAAACCCCCTAAAATGGCTGAGGCTATTTTTCCCTCTCTCTCTTTTTTCTTTGCTCAGCACAGCATTTTTGCATCTCGTTTTCAGTTCTAACACGCGTATTACCGACTCTCCCTTAGAACCAACATCCATCCATAACTCATAAGCACCTAGAGTAACCCATGTATACAAAAGTAAAGATAGCATGTGGACTTAGGGATACCTGGAACTAGCTGCAAAAGTATGAGAAAGCAAGAAACAATCTCGACAAGAATGGATGCATGAATCTCCCTGACATATAGATGGTCTAGTCATCAACTTTGTCAATCAATGAAATCCCTGCCTAACTCCCTACTCATAGATCTTATTAAAAACTAAGATCTATCAATATTGCCGACGGATTGAGAAACGTGACAACAGGAACATTGCTAACAGATTGGGAAACTCAGGAACCCAGCACCAACAAATCATTGAATAGACAGTCAGTCCCCTACTTCGAATAAACATTTTGCAGCATTCTCCACGTAGGCTTTTGACTTGATTTGACAAAAGGAAAAAAATCCAATAAAAGAGGACGACAGAAGGCTACAAAGAGTGGTTATCCTTCCAGGAACTACCAGTACAGTAACAGAGCTTCACCCAGTAAACTTTATACACCACAACATGAGCACATAGAGGACTAGGAACTTCTCATAAAACAATAGGAAATTCTATAGAAGCTGGTGCAGATAATGCGTTTGTCATTGTTTCCTTGAACCAAAATTACAGATGGACATCAATTTGGACGCTCAGGAACTATATTTGGAAACCATAACATGGTGCATTCACGTTATCAACTACAACCATAACACCAGATTCAGCCAAAGTTAACCTCAACCCATTCCATTACATCAAGGGAGGAAAGCATGAAGCAAAAATTTGTGCCGCAGCCCGAAAAAAAAAATCATCTTTTACATGTCCGATCAACTCCCTACACGGGCGAGAAAAAAATCCAGAAAAGGGTAAAAAATTCCCTCTTTTCGGTCGCAGAGGAAGATACTCGCACCCCCAAGTAGCTCACCACAAAACCCAATTCGCTTAAAGAGAGGAGAAACAGGGCACGTACCCATGGCTCGGAGCATCTTCAGATCGAACCTCTCGGCGAGATGCTCCCGGCCGATCACCCTCGCTCGTTGGAGCGCCAGCGCCTTCAAGCTCATCAGAAGATCCTGCGGCAAAAACAACACCCCCCCAACGGCAATCCCTCGTCAAATCTTCGCAAACAGAAACGAGAATAACAGAAACAAAAAATCTCGACAGGAAACAGACGACACGCAGCGAGGAATCTTGGAAAACCGGAGATGCAAATTGGAGAAACGGAAGACGTACGAGCTCCGATTCCGACAGAGAACAGAGCCAAGCGACATCCTCGACGCTGTTGCTTCCCAGGATGTCTTCCTCGGAATCCATAGACGCACCTTGGACCGACCGGCCGACCGACCGAACACCAGAGAGAGAGATAGAGAGAGAGAGAGAGAGAGAGAGAAGGCAGTGATCGTTTGCCGCGAAGCTGAGCTTAACATTAACTGCAAGGGTTAAACACTATAATCTAAAATTAAACAAATTGATTAGATAGTTTTGTTTTTGATATTTTAAAATAGAATCGACTTAAGATACTAATTTGCACTTTTTTTGTAAAACCAAAAGTACGTACTCAATTTGAAGTGCCCAAAATAAAAATATAAGGTCGTGTCGATAATAGTCGAAATGGGCTAATTCCGAAAAAAAAAAAAAGAACATCAATTTTACCTTGAGTGACAATTTTGGCTCGAACTTTTTTTGTCTCAATAAAAAGCACCAACTTTTACTTGAGTTCTAAAATTGAGCCCCGGTGATATAAATTTTCAAATTGTTCCAACTATACTTGGGATTTAAGTGAAAGTTAGTGATTTTTTATGAGACAAAAAAGAATTTAGGTTAGAATTGTCACTCAAGGTAAAGTTGATGCTTTTTATTGGGATTAGGCCTAGCCAAAATATTGGTATTGAGTAATATTACCTTCTTATACCAACCCAATATGTAATGATGAATGTTACCGTAGGTTCTGGGCTTTTAACATGGTAACAACCAAGTTTTTAAATTATATTAAAGGAATTAAGTAACCCCATCCTTACTTATCAGATTTTTTTTTTTTTTCGTAATTCTCCTCTATCTCTCTCTCATAGACTTTTATTTTACCTATTTGCAGAGCATGGGAGTCGAATCGGCCCAATCTGTAATACTAGCGTCCTCACTTCCCAATTCCTTTAGTAATGGACCGCGTGCTGTGTGGCTACCAGATTCTTGTGTGATAACTCCAATTAGTACTAAAAATTAATACATTTCGCACAAGTCTGTAAACCGGTGGTACAGGTCAGTTAGTCGATTGACAGATTTGTGCAAAGCACAAGCTGACCCGTAGGAAGTCGAGACTTTCCCTCTTGTCATCTCAGGCACAAGAGATTACTATACCTGTTTACCCGGAGATAGCTAGCCGAAGTTGACGTGGAGTCTACTTTCTCTACCTAAGAAGTAACCCCATCCTTACTTATCAGATTCTATTTTTTTTTGTTTGATCGCTAACTCTCCTTTACCTCTCTCATAGAAACTTTTGCTTTACCTATTTCCAGAGCATGAGAGTCGACTCGGCCCAACCTGTGATGGTAGCGTCCTCGCTTCCCAATTTCATTATCACTGGGCCGCGTGCTGTATGGCTATCAGATTCTTGTGTGATAACTCCAATTAGTACTGAAAATTAATACATTCCGCACTAATATAAAATTAACTAAGTCTGATAATTATAAATAGTTTTTTTTTGGTAAGGTTGATAATTATAAATAGTTTTGACTTAAATGATTCAATTAAGTAAAAAAAAAATCACTTAATTTGTTGAGTAATATTACGGTTACTCAATTCTTTCAATAGAATAATAATCAATGGTAATTAAAATCCTTCAAACTATATTGATGAAAAACCTACCAATAATGCTCATTTTTAATATTTGGTAAGAGATTAATAATATATATTTATCGATTTTCAAATTTTCATCTAGCAATCTTTATCTCTAATTTCAACACTTATCAACACTTAGATTCTCACAACCTAAAAATTTTCAGTTTTTACCAAATAGGCCTAGTGCCTAAGAAGCACGAGGTGAGTTGACCGGGCTACAATGCCTCCCAAATTAATCAATCTCATTGCACATCAGGAGTAACCACGGTCCGTGCGGGCCGGGCTCAAATGAAATTTTCGGCCCGGCCCGGCCCGGACTACGCCCGAAAGTGGGCCCGCCTCGATCGGAGATGAAACGGTCCACAAAGGGCGAGCGCGGCAAGGTCCTGGCCGGTATTGGCCAGGCCTGAACCTGGTTGTACTTTAACCCCAAAAAAAAAAAAAATTTTGTTTCCCGTGAGTAGATGTAGTAAGTGATCAAGTTCACGAGCAGCGACCTGACTTTGAACCAATTTGCCCAAAAGAGACGGAGTAACCAAAAGGCCACAGCAGGACTATACCACATGAAGCATAAAACGAAGCAAGCAGTTACAGTAAACTACATCAAGAGCCCCATGTATAGCAATGCTGTTCATTCCTTGAGCCTCAGTAGCCACTGCCCAAATCAATAGTCTAGACAAGTGAAAAGGAAAGCGAAACTTTTATCAGAACCACATACAAGAAGTGTAATCTTTATCGGTATTTTCGTGTGTGTTACGAAGGAAACTAATTAAAGAATATGTCTAATCTCGAGCACGGTTTCTCCCCAGAATTCTGAATAACTGCGGCTATTGGAACAATGGGCTACTTCGCAGTGTCCTGTAGATAGGGCTGTTGGTGAATGACTTGTAGATTGATGCTCTCCTCCGCTGTATAGCTTCCTTCAGATGATGTATTTTCGCGTCGACTCTGGCTGAGAACCCGACTTGTGTCGTCCTATTTGAGTTTTGCTGCTCTCTCAACCACATCTGCTTGTCGATGACGTCCTTTTTGCGGTGCTTCATCTCTTGGATCACGTGGTCGTCCAATGGGTAAAATGTCCTTTGCAGGACCATGTAAACGAAGTATGGAAGCAGTGACGCAACGACCACAAGCAGTGTGATGATCCAAAAGCTAGGAGAGCCTCCAATGGCCTCAGTCAGCACATGAAATCCCGTTTTCGAGTAGGAGGGAGGGAGCGCGCCATATACAAGCAGGAAAATGTACCACAGCAATATGCTTCCCCAGATGAACAGGTGCTGGATCCAAGTGAAGTGACTGATTATGAGGGCAATTTGGCAATTTACTGTCCATATCACGCATGTGTATGTGATCGTGCCGAGGTGTGCCATGTCAGCGGCGTTGCCCTTCCCAGAAAAGGCGACTGAAGAGAGTGCGTGTATGGTTAAGAGGAAGATGATCAAGGAAGCAACTGCGCCATTAAGTATCCATCCGATGATTCTCTTCCAAGAGAAGCATATGCCTCTTTGACCCTGTTGATAAAGGGCAGGAAACTGCAGAGACGACAAAGCTTGTTAAGTATGTGAGCCGTAATAAATCAAGAAAGGAAAAAGAAGAAGACATACTATTTGCAGTACTTGAAGTAAACCAGCGATTCGTGGATTTTTTTAGACTCTACCTGGTGACACACATCTGATGGAACGTCCTGCTCAAGAACTCCCAAGGATATGACTGGCAACGATGTCAACAGGACGTTGAATGCCGTCATATACCAATCGTCATACAGTACCTGGCCGGAGAACGATGTGTAGAACTCGTAGTAGAATAGCGTCAAGCCGAACACAATATTCTTGTATATGAAGTAAAGGATCTGTTACACAAATGCAACACATTAGATATAAAAGTTCACTAACATGTGTCCTCGAGAGTATAATTTGGACAAATTAGTACCATCTTAGAGATTCTCTTGTAACACCAATGTCCATGCACGATCAGGAGTCGCTCGAGGAACCGGAATTGGGGCAACGAGAAGTCGCTAGCCATGACGGCCTGCAACATAAATAAACAAATAAGTAAATTAACAGCATGTCATGGTTCAGCTTTCAATGGGGGTCTGAATTAGAATTCAGAAAAGATTTGCTTAGTCAAAAAGGCGACATGAAGTGACACTAGTCTTCACCTGCATGCCTTCCATGCCGCTAATCCCAACTCCGATGTCGGCTTCTTGAATCATGCCGACATCATTTGCGCCGTCTCCTATTGCCAGGGTAGTCTTGCCGGTGAACTCCTTCACCAATCGGGTGATCTGAAAGTTCCTACTTAGTGTCATTATTCTCTTATTTAGTGCTATGGGTGTGAATAGAAAAACTTATTAAGCAAGATAAGCAGGATTTTCTTTCTGACGATAACACTTAGAAATAAACTGAAATCTTACGAGGGCTTTCTGTTTCGGTGACACGCGGCAGCATATGACAGAAGCACACTCGACAGCCAACCGTAAGAATTGATCCTTCACATCGCTTCTCAAAGCAATCTCGAGGGCCTGCCCGTCCACCACCAGAGCAAAGGGCATGTGCTTGTCGTGCTCTTCGTGTATTTCTTGAGAAAAGCTTTCGATTTGGCTTACTAAATCTTTTTTCGCCGCCTGAAAAAATGATACGCTGCTGGTCATCACCAACCTCAAAGAAGCGGAGGATCTCAGGCATTTGAAACATCTTCTAGAACAAATTAAAAAATTGTTACAACGCAACTGCCGGTACTTTGATTGCAGTGACTACTTCGCTCATAAACCTATGTTTTGCCCTCTTGCTTTTGATGCTTATTGCCTTCATTTTTCTGATCTTGACATATATATTCGATCATCCAAAAAAGGAAAAAGAATTTAAATTGATATATGACCGAACCAAGTCACTGACTCGTACTAATTTTAAATAGATAGTACTGCAAATTCTTGTATGATTAGTAAATATTATTGATGCAAAGTATTGTCAAGCATGTGAATTTTCTCATTTCTATTACATTAACATTATAACAACACTAAATATTCATGTGTCGGAAATCTTACGAGTATCGCCTCCGATTGGTTGCTGCGTCCCAAGTCCTTGACAGAACTCAAATGAAACTGTTTGATATCTTGTCGAAGCAAGCTACACGCGAATCTAGCAGAGGCAAAGAGAAAATAGATGAACTGATTAGCTTTTTACAAGATTAAGATGGTCATAAACATTGGTCCATACTATGAACTGATCAAGTATCATTACAGCTAGCGAGTTTCAAATGATGAGACACACCCAATGTTGATTGCAGTCTCCTTCTTGTCACCGGTAAGCAGCCAAATCTTCAAGCCTGCTTGAGCGAGTTTATCTATGCATTCTGGAACCTATGCAAATCAAGAATTACTGTCTTTTAAATCCAGAAGTTCTACTTTGTAGAGGTAAAATAAGTTTCTGTCCCTTTTTATCCAAAAACTTGTAGAGGAGATACATATCAAATGCTTGATAAACATCTTAATGATCGATGATGATGTATCAATTACAATAACTGATTTATTGACTTAGTTTTGCAATAACACCGGAGTATGGCTTTCTTTTTGTTGAGTAAGAGTGGAAGTATTATTTCTGCAGTTGAAAGGAAACAGATGGAACAATGTTTTTTTCAGCAATGTTAGTTCTTCAATGCATGAAAACCAGAGAAACTGACACTTCATCTACCTCTTATTTTTCCAGCTTTATGTAACTAGTTGGGTTCCAATCAAATCAGAGAAGGACCTAAAGTAAAACCAAAGATATAGAAAATGAAAAGTTAAAATGACATTGAGAATTAACTAACCCCTTTTTGTAACTTGTCCTCGACAGCGGCAACCCCCAACAGAATCAAGTCCTTTTCGATCATTTCAGATGCACTCTCCAGTAATTCATCCCTTTCAGGACCCACGGTGGTCTTGGCTTTCGTGAATATTGAGTTCCAGTGTTCGTACTCGGCCCTTTCGACAGTACGATAACCAAAGGCCAGAGTTCGAAAACCATCTTCAGCGTAACATGAAAGGTGTGAACTTGTCGCCTCCTGGTATGACCTCCCATTGTCAGCGAGCCTCTCAAAAATGATGCTGGGAAAGCAAATCAGATAGACCTATGAGATTCAGGATGCCCCAAGAACACAAACAAAAATTGGATCTGATTGATTCTTTCAGGAATCAGCGAATACCTGTCCGCTCCTTTGCACAAAAGAAAGATTTGACCATCTTCGGTGCTCACAATCACGGACATCCGCTTGCGAGAACTACTGAACTCCAACAGGTTCAAAAGCTTGTACTCCCTGAATGTTACTAAGAGAGGATGTTCCTCAACCGCTAAAACATATGTTCAAGGAAACAGACGAATAAACGACACCAGAATGGAATCAGAAAGCCAAGAGGATACCTTTCCACGACGCTTCCCGAGTCTGGGTCGAGTTCCTTGAGAACCATAACTGATTGTGTCCTCTTGCAGAACTGTACGCCGAATTCCTGAGAGGTTATCAAGAAAGCGACTTCCTCTGGCGACTCTGCCTCAAACTTCAACTTGTCAGCTCGATCGTCTGTAGTGGGTATGCCGGTGTGACACAGAGCCATCACTCTGAAGAACATTGTTATGTCGAACACGTGGGAATTGCGAGTCCATCGCCCATCCATCAGCCTGCCATCCCTGAAGTTAAAGCCCTTAATGGAATATTCTCCGTGAACATCCAAAGTTTTCGGGTTTTTCAAGTTTTGACTCTCTAAATATTCTGGAGCACCTATATAACCCATCTGAGTGCCAATGTCGTCTGCGGGGAATTCACAGATCTCGATGCTTTGGCTCGTTGCATCAGATTCATCGACACTAGACCTGCATGCAACCATATCCGAATTCATCGTTTGAGAAGCGGCTAGATCCACTTCATTCAAGTCGCCACCATACGAGACTCCTGCAATGGAGCATTTCCTAAATTCCATCTGGTTACAGGTCAAAGTCCCCGTTTTATCTGATAAGATGATTGATACCTGACCGAGCTCCTCGTTCAAATTCGAAGTGCGGGCTCGGACCGACTGGCATGTCGCTTCATCGAACATTTGTATATCCTTGTTAATGAGGACAGCTTGAAGTACTTTTACCACTTCAATGGACACATAGAGAGAAATAGGAATCAAATAGCCATACAGCACCAGAGCCCTTATGAATTGCATAATTATCGACAATACTGGTTTTGACGGATTAAAGAATAGATCTTCGTCTTGTAAACGGAGGTACCACCAACTCGTCATCTGGGAACTGACAAGCAATGCAGAAGCAATAGACGTCACCAGTGAAATTAAAACAAGCATCGAGAAAAGAATGTAGATGACACGATCCATCTTCCTCTCAATCCGGCTACGTTTAGAGGGCGACTTCATGGAGTTCCTTACTGCCTTCGTGTCAGGTCCAGTGAAAATGACGACTCCATATATGTACTCTGTGTTCCGTAGTTTGGAATCTCTCAGAAGCACTTGTGCAGGGCACAAAGGGTGCGATTCATTCTCAAATTCCAAGTTTCCAACGAACGAATACAAATTCGGATTCGGGTCCTCACAGTAAATAGTAGCTTTGAATTTACTCATGGTGTCGTCCTCATTTAAACTGAGAGTGGCTTCTATGCATCTCTTAGCTTTCAGATTGGTTTCTCCATCGAGATTCATAGTCTCAACATAGCAAACGCCGTCCTCATAGCTTGAAGAGAGTAAAAGGAGGTCACTGGGAAAATACTGATCCTTCTGTACTTTAACAACATCCCCGACGGAGACTTGTTGCCACGGTTTTTCGACAAAGACACCATCTCCTATGTGAGTCTTCACGAAACGGGAGTTCACTTCCAAATCCTAAGAAAAGTTTTAGTAACTACAGCATTAGTCCAAGACTACAAGGCACTTTTCAATTTTTGGCTCATGACAGACAAGATTAAATGCACTAAAATGAGTTTGGACAGAACCACATTGACAAAGCCCAATTCGCAGTACTCTAAAACTGAAATGGTTTAGAATGAGCGCGAGCATAATACAAAATGTTAATCGAGAAATTCCTAGGAAGTCATTTTTAGCAGGATCATTATGGCCATTCCGCAGAAGGTTCAAGTTACATAGCCAAAAACTCGATAAAGAAAAAGAATGAACAACGAACATATGAGGAATAGTAAGATGACTAGAGAAAAAATTCAATGTCCTCATACCTGCAAGAACCTGTGCCAATCTTCTATCGCCTCCTTGAGCATGCTGATCCCAACCACAAAAACGAGAGGGATAATCAGACTTGGCGGAGTGAAAGGAGCCAACGAGGTGAGGGACAATACTGCTGCCAGCAGGAAATAAAGATTGGCCACTCTTCGAAACTGCTCGAAGAGTGACCTTGGGAGGAACGTCAACACGTTGTACTTGGTCGTGGATACGTAATTGGTTGGGTACTTGTGAGGTTTCATTCTATCCAGATGAGGCTCGTTGCAGAAAACAACCCGCGAGAATCCCGGCCGTCCTATAAGGCTTTTGATGGGAACTGGATCGGCATTGGGGGGCCGGAAGCACGAGAATGTGTACAGCTTGCTCCATCGTATCTTCCTCTTTGTTCTTCCGCTTGACTCCTGCATTTCGCTTGCCAACTAGAATTTCAAGTCGCCTTCCCTCTATAAAGTGAATGGAGCTCCTACAACTACATCAGACCTTAACCAAACGAAATCCTAAGAATTACAATCCTGCGTTCCCTCCATCCAGGATCAACACGCCTTCGTAGCATCACATATCTCAACTATATATGTAGAACAAATTACCCTTCGTGACCTGTATTGTGTCCTCTTCTGGGCGTTGACTCACCTGGTCACAACTATAGATATCAGCAACAGCTATACAAGAAGTCGACTTTTTCATTGCATTGTCCCCATTTTCCAATGTTGCACAGCAATATAAAACTCGGAGGTTGATGCATTTTTTTGGTCTGTCTTCTTGGACAGCGACGTCCGATGCGAAGCTTTGGGGTTTTTCTTGGATCATGCAGGCCTGCCATTTTGCCTTACTTTCCTTAAAAATGAAAATAATATACCGCCAACCCGAGGAGCTTCACCATTCCGTTAAGTCTTCGAAGAATCCGTCAACATCTTTCAGAATCAATAAACTAATGCATCTACTACATGCTGGCCAATGCCCATCTGGCCAATGCCCATCTGGCTTTTGATACAAACAATGACTTCGACATTTGGAAATTTTTTTTATTTAAAAATGACCCTTTACGAGTTGAAAAGTGGAGCAATATTATAATCCTGTGTTCAGATAAACCCTGCTCTAGTAGCTTGCAGGGGTGAATTCATAAAGAATCAAAGTGGACGTAACTTGCGGATGTCTGAATTCAGACAATATCTGATAAAGAATTGACAAGTGTGCAGATCCCATAATTAGTGTATCATTTGACTATGCTGTAACAACTGCAGAAAATGGCCATCCAATCACCCAAAAGGAAAAAAAATTCAAATCCTGGATAAGAATGGATTGGAATGATAATCATGCACATGTCGCCATTTGAAAGTTCTTTATGAGAGCGGTTGAAAAATTGAAGTCAAAGCTCAAGATCAATTATTTGGTAAGAATCTTTGCTCCATTCCCAAGTACTGGAGGTCAACTCTCAAGTTTAATTTGTTACAAAACTTTAATCCTCTCTTGGCGTGTGAACCCCTAAATTGCAGAAAAATTTAAGGGAAAAAACCACCAAAAACCCCAAACTTTGCCATCTGTGACACATTTACCCCGAACTTTTTTTTGTGACACCAAAAACCCTGAACTTTGCTTTTTGTGACACATTTACCCAAATATATTTAGTCTATGGGCATTTTCGTCTTTTTTGCTTTTTCTTTTTTTTTTTTTCTTTTTTTCCTTTCCGGCGAGGGGGGGCCTCGCCGGATCGCGAGGGGCCCTCGCCGGCGTCAGCGAGGCGGCCCTCGCCGGCGTCGGACGAGGTTCGCCCTCGCACAGGGCAGCGAGGCGGCCCTCGCCCAGGCTCGGGCGAGGTCGACCCTCGCCCACGCCGGCAGGTCGACCTCGCGAGTCGGGCGAGGGCCGCCCTCGCTCGCCGAGCGAGGGTTCGACCCTCGCCGGCGTCGGCGAGTCCGCCTCGCACTGGCGAGCGAGGGCGGCCCTCGCCCGTCCGGCGAGTCGACCCTCGCCGGCGTCGAGCGAGGCGGCCCTCGCCGGATCCGGCGAGGCGGCCCTCGCCGGCGTCGGGCGAGGGTCGCCTCACTCGCACAGGCGAACGAGGCGGCCCTCGCCCGACGCCGGCGAGGGCGGCCCCTTGCCGGATCGGGCGAGGGCGACCCTCGCTCGGCAGCCGGCGAGGTCGCCCTCGCCCGATCTGGCGAGGGCCGCCCTCGCTCGGCGCCGGCGAGGGTCGCCCTCGCCCGATCAGCAAGGGGCCGCCCTCGCCGGCGTCGGGCGAGGGCCGCCTCGCTCGCCTAGGTGAGGCGACCCTCGCCGACAGCCGCGAGGGTCGACCTCGCCGAGATCGGGCGAGGGCCGCCCTCGCTCGCCCGGGCGAGGCGGACCTCGCCGGACGCCGGCGAGGGTCGCCCTCGCCTGGGCGAGCGAGGGCGGCCTCGCCGGCTCGAGCGAGGTCGAACCTCGCCGACGCCGCGAGGGTCGACCTCGCACGAGTCGGGCGAGGGCCGCCCTCGCTCGCCCGGGCGAGGCGAACCTCGCCGGCGCCGGCGAGGGCCCCCTCGCCGGAAAGGAAAAAAAAAGAAAAAAAAAAAGAAAAAGCAAAAAAGACGAAAATGCCCATGGACTAAATACATTGGGGTAAATGTGTCACAAAAAGTAAAATTCGGGGTTTTTGGTGTCACAAAAAAAAGTTTGGGGTAAATGTGTCACAAATGGCAAAGTTTGGGGTTTTTGGTGATTTTTTCCCAAAATTTTAAGACAATAAGTCAGTTTTTATTTTTGCATTTCCAAAAATTTAATAATTTTATGACTTGGGTTCTCTTGTGTTCTCCAGATCTAGGCGCTTTGCTTAAAGTATGGATCACACAGAAAACGATGATGCATAGAGTAGCAGCTGCATTTTCCAATATTTTTCGATCTCGAAATCTTCATTTTTCTTTCGCTTTCCTTTTCTTTTATTTTTTGCTTTCATAAGATTGCTGAGAGGCTCAACGGAGAGCTTGTTCTCTCCCAGTTTTGGGTTCTAATATTTTTACTATAGAACATGCCGTCGGGGGAAAGTCAGTTGATAGCTGAGGAATGCAATTCGTGGTCATAACCTACGTTAATAAGATGCTGTTAATGGTCAAGATAAGAGTTTTGTATGAAACTTCTGGTAATATGATGAATTTTCAGAGGATACGACGAACTACAATTTATTTCTAAATGAATGAACATGTAATGAGATGAGAGTTTTGTATGAAACTTCTGGTAATACTTCAAACGGACATATCCCATGGAGATGCCTTCGCATGCAGTCACGCATCTTATTATTACCTTTAACATTATCACGGTCTTTAATATTGGATATCATTGTCTTTCAGAGGCAATGGCATTGTACAAGCCTAAACTTTTACTCATTGTGCAATCGCACAAATTACGTTTTCTTGTTCAAATTAAGTAGAGTTTGAAAATTCAATTCCATGTCAGGCTTCTGGCTCATGTCGCCTGATTTTCATATCAGGCCTTTTGATCCCCATAGCATTGACATTATCCTTGCCATCTTACAAAGAGAGACGAAGCTACAGAAAGCCTGATTAATCACTCAGAGAAACCCCAGTACCTCTTATTTGGACTTCTAGTTAGTGATTAAAAGAGTAACGAAGTGCAAACTCGAAGGAACCGCAACCCTTTTAATCATCTATAATCACCTGGGTTGGAAAACAAACATTATCTTCTTAAGTTCTAAATTACATCAGCCAAACTAAGCATACACATAGCGGCATGTCAATGGTACTTAAAAAATTTTGCACGGAAACCCAACTTTCAACAATAGGCCTGAACTACATATCTTTGGGAAAAATCTACGGTCCTAGCATTTGAGACGACATCGGAGGAAGGTACTGTTTCCATAATTCGCCTCTTTCGAACTGCAGAGTGGATCCAGCTCCAAGTGCCGAGCAAAGTTTCTTGGGACCATCATAAGGGATGACCATCTTCTTTAATATGCTTTCAGGTAACGCTTTATAGTCGACTGACAACCAAGAAGAGGAAAGCTTAGAGTAATTGTGGTAGAGTGTTAAAAATAAGGCAGGGTTGCCCTCGCCAGCGCTGCAAATCAACAAAATGCACGTGAGATCACAACACATGGACGTGTAGAACAGTACTACTGCAAAATGTAACTTGATTGGATAAAAGGAGATATGCTAATGTATAGAGAAAAACCAAGCTCTGGTCAAGCCGGCAGTGCTCATAGTTGATCAATTTGGTCGAGCCAATCTCGTTACGTGTACACATAATGTATGGTGTGACACTGAGCTTAAACGTTTTGAACTTTGATCTAACTTAGGACCACCGATATTCCTACTTACTGAAATTTTCTTGAAGTAGCAATGTCATATAACAACCATTCAAAGAACATTTGTGCACAATTCATGGACATCAGTGACAAGTCAAGTAGGAACCCAGTAGTCTGATAATTAATAAGCGGTTCATTGAAATTGTCCCAAATGAATACTAGGTAAGGGGAAAAAGAGTTCTGATTATAGATTTTTAAGAGGGAGGAGAGATGCTCAAATTAGGTGACTATGAGAAGGATGTAAAAAGAAAATACATTATTAAATCATCAGAAATTAAACACAGTAGACATGTCAATAAAAGAGTGAAGTGAAGCCAACCTTTTGTTCCAATTTAGTACTGTAGTCCACCATGAAACTGCCTGAAGAAAGTCTTTTCTCAAATTTCTTGTGCCAATTAAGAGCACACTTAGATTGGGAATGCAAGCATTCTTTTCGTATGGTGTGTCAGATACCCAGGGCCTTGAAGCTGATCTCTGAATGGCATCCAAGACTTCTGGTTTCACATAGTCAGTCAATCTCTTCGAGCAGTCCTCTGCTGCAGCAATACCGTAACTTTGCAAGTCAAGAGAAATCAGTTCCTCAGCTCTTCCCTGAAATGAAAACTCTCTAATGATACGCACACCTCAAGTGAATAATCACAACAGCTCATGTTATATACTCAAAAGTAGGTCCACAAAATAAGCAGTAATACAAATAGAGTGTACAGCTCCAAACTTTACAATCAAAAGTGAGGAAAATAAGTAGCCAGCGAAACGAGCAGAGGTCAAACATGCCAACCTTCACTACGAGGTCCGATGAGAAATATATGAACTTCGTTAGTGACTGAAGAATTATTTGTATTGCAAATGGTGCTAATTCCTCGTAATTTGGCTCCAAAGGGAACATGGCATTTGTAATTAGTTCCTTGATATTCTCCTGCCTACAATAACGGAAAGAAACGTTCGCATATAGGCTGCCAAAAGCTGAAATGTGAAAATGAACTATCAGGAAAGACTTACCCGTGAATTTCTAGATGTGAATTTGGGAACAACACCTTTAACTTATAAAATGATAGCTTGTCTTCACTTCCACCGGGAATAAAGAAATGAAAATACATCAAATCTGGATTTCTGTAGCCAATAAAATCAGTATGAATATCAAGAATCCATCCAGGGGTGTGAGCTACTAGCAGTTGCAAAGAAATTTACTGCCTATGCAAGAAAATCTGCAGTATGCTTAACTAGGAGAAAGTCTTTTAAATGCTGACCAAATTTAGTTTCCCAAAACAGTAGAATTTAAAAGCATTTGATGAAGTTCAATGAACAGCAGCTCAACAAAAATCAGCCCAAAAAAGAATTTGTTGGTTGCTTTTAGGGCGAAATACAGCATTCAAAGTCGCAAATCACAAGGAAGAATGAAATGCTATATGATTGCTTTCTGGCGTTATACTTGCCATAGACAATTTGTTATATCTAGAATCTTCCTTGACTTAACAGACGTAAAGTGGGATTAGATGTCACAAATCATATGCATGCGGTATGGTTTCATTCCAGAACCCAAAATGGAATACATCTGCTGAGTAGCTACAAAGAATCATGTCGATGAAGTTTCATGGAAGTCATTGACCTCTGGTCTCATTGGGCAACAAAGTAGCATCACACTATTCAAACCAGATAGTAGATATCTAGTTGTGATTCTAAATATGTTTGAACAACTAAAAGCATGGTAGTGTGGTGAGAAGTATATATTAGTCAAGATATGTAAAAGTAGCATTTTCAGATGATTTAGGCGGGCACTGAAAGAACAAAGACCCCAGTGCCTGCTTCAGGTAAGACAAAAGATGGTATACATAAATGTCCAATAAGATGCCAAGTTACAAGGACATCATACCTTGAGCTAGTCAAAGTTGAATTGGCGAGGACTGCAAGCAGCCGAAGGTCCAGACACTCCATCCAAGAAACAACATGCACCATTCCATCCTCTTCATAGTTTGATGTGATCACTTTGGCGTTTTCTCCACCAGAAGCCCCAAACTTGCCCAACTACACAAGCTGATCAGTTAGCCTTGTTTGAACAGTTCAAATGGAATAAGACTTTGAAAAAACAATCATCAGAACTACAAAAATCCATCCTGCTAATCAGGCCATTGTCTCTGACTCATATACATATAATACCAGATGAAAACAAAAGCAAATACTGCATCGATGATGAAACTGCTTTTGAACTTGTCAGTGTATAAAGGAGCAGTTTCAAGATATTTATTTGATTTGTTTGAATGACGAGTAAAACAGGATACAACAGACACTACCGTCTTTAAACAGGAGTAATCTCAAGCAATAACCATGGAATACACCTGTATTTGTCTGCTATCCAAAAACTAGAGCACAGACGACTTAAGCATCAGCCATCCAAATTCATGTGTCAACACTCCAATTTACCCTAAAAATACAACCTTGAACATCAATAACTATTATCATGTATAGGCGAGTGTGGTCGTTACTCTACTTGTCGCCATTAACACATTATGCTATATCATTATCTGTCTAGCACGTTCGGCGTGATCATATATCCTGGATTCTGAAGAGACATTGTGGATAACTTATTACTGGCAACTCCAGAGTCATGATCTTGTCGTTTGGGCCACCTAAAACTCATTTTTTAACATTTGGAACATTAGAACGAGCACTTCATGGACAGTAATCAGACTCTAAAGGAAAATGCAATGACCCATCAAACTCAAGTTTAACAAAAGGAAAAGGAAGCATCCAACCCAACTATTCACTAGAAATCCCAGAAAACAACACACCATATTCAACCACTGAAGAGTCATGAACAGGTCATAAACTTGCCAGACACTGTTTGAATGGAACCAGCTTATGGCTAGACATCATAACAGAGCAAGTAAAAAACAACATTGCTATGTCCATTCCAACTAAAAAACAAGCATACATATATTCAAAGAGAAAAAGAAAGGAGCTTTACTGGGGAAAAGGAGTGGGATTCGTTCAGGAAGTTTTCGATGGGAAACCAATTTCTGTGAGGATCGGCGGGGTGTCGAACGTGTGTCGCCGGCAAGAACTGGAGGATTCCGAGGAAAACGATGAGCCCGAAGGAGACGAACCGGAAAAGGGGAAGTGGGTTCGGAGCGGGATCCGCGGCGGCGTCGCGGTGGAGGGCGGCGGCGGCTCCGCCGGCGTTCGGGGGCTGGGTCCGCCGGTGAGCTGCGGAGGGCCTCGATGACAGGTACGAGGAGGACGACGACATGGTCGCCCGTTGACTTTTCGCGAGCGCTTTGAAACAGTGAACACCGTCCGTGCAGGTAATGTGTCTGTAATAATAATAATAATAATAATCAATAAGATTCGATTTTTGTAGTTTTTAATTTTTAATTTTTTAAATTTTATGCTGGCCGACCATATGTTTTTTAGTAATAATGCTAGATTTTAATTAACTATTCCAATTAGATTAGTATATACTAAGACATGTGTACAGGCGATACGTGTATGCAAAAACATTGACATATCAAATATCAAATATTAGGCGAAATCGTCGTATTCTGAAAATCACTTGAATAATCTAAATTATTGATAAAAATACATCATACAAAAAATCATACAAATATACACCGAAGGGTAAACATATTTCAAGATTCGGAATTTTTCAGGAATGCTATTTTAGGATAGAAATCATTTAAATTTTAGTTTTGAAATATGGGAGCATCTAATAGAACTATTGACTTACTTATTATTAACGAATTTAATGTCTCTAAAATAAGTAACCAATGATGATATAATGTGAAAAGAGAATGGATAAGAACCTTTTAAAGTAGCAAGCACTCTTTTGACAAAAAAAAAAGGGTTAATACCACGAAAAACTCAAAACTGGTACACTAGTGACAAATTACGAAAAATCCCTAAATTGATACACCTGTAACAAATTTACCTTAAACTAATTTTTTGACAATCAAAAACCCCAAAACTAATACACTTGTGACAAATATACCATCCGTTAAATTGGATTAATATCACGGAAAATCATAAACTGGCAAAACCTATAACAAACAGGTGGGTAAAATCCTAAACTGATACACCCATTAACTATCATGTATCATCCAACTTATAAATTTGACGGTAAAATTTAATAGAAACTAATAGATGGTAAATTTGTTACAAGTATACCAGTTTTGGGTATGATTTAGGGTAAATTTATCACAAATGTACCAGTTTGGGGTTTTTGTGGTATTTTTCCAAAAAAAAAAATAGCATGTACTCTTTACTTTTAGGCCTAATTCCCTTAAAAACCACAAACTTTATGTCAAGTCTCAGATTAGCCCTGAACTTTTTTTTTGTTTAAGAAAACACCCTAAACTTTAGATCTAGTTCCAAATCTGTCTCGAATTTTTTTTAATCTCAGAGAAAACTCAAAACTTTAAGTCCAGTCCCAATTCTGCCCCGAATTTTGTTTTGTGTAAAAAAATCACCAAAATTCAATTTATTTTCAAAAATATACCCCCGTGATCAAGTCCTAACTTGACGTGGCGCTTCCACGTCAATAACAAATCCACATCAATAAGGTAATGGGGCTTTTTTTTAGACAAAGAAAAGTTCGTAGCAAATTTGGACTGAACCTAAAAATTAGGTTTCTTTTTTTTTTAAATTTAAAAAAGTTTTTTTGGATGGATTTTCTATCGTCCCTAACTTTAATATTCTAGAATGGTTTTATTTTGGAGAATTTCAACAATTTTTATTGGGTTGAATTTGTTATCAAAGTGGAAATGCGATATCAGTTTGAACCTATCGCCACATTACTTTGTTGATGTGGATCTTTTATCGACATGGAAGTGCTACGTCAAGTTGGAACTGGATCGCGGAGGTATATTTTTGAAAATAAATTGAAATTTGCTGATTTTTTTACACAAAACAAAATCCGGGGCTGATTTGGGACTAAACTTAAAGTTTGGGACTTTTTCTGAAACAAAAAAAAAGTTTGGGCCAAATTTGGAACTAGATCTAAAGTTTGGGGTTTTTTTTAGATAAAAAAAGTACGGAGCAAATTTGGGACTTGACCTAAAGTTCAGGGTTTTTTAGGGAATTCACCCTTACTTTGTATAATAATAATATAGGTCAAATCTCAATTTTTGTAGTTGAAAGTTAAATATAACCCAATTATCGGGCTGAATTACAGTCTACTATATTACTTAGTATATGAATTCATTGGCGTGGATACCTAGCATTTTATCATCCCTGATTGGTACCATATATTTCTAGACAATGGACGAATGACAGTTTAAAAAGACCCACAAAAAAATCAAACGATTGTTTAAATCTCTCGTAGATTCTAAACTTAGATATCTTCCTCCAATTGTAATTATTTCAATTAAATTCCTTAAAGCAGTCAAATTACTCTTTCTTTTCCCTTTTCTCTTCTTCATTAATAACAGCAAAAACAGCACAAGCTATGCCTGTGCAAATTGTGGAAATAATAGTTATGAAGGAAAGGAAAAATGCAATTTGAGTTATTTCAAGAAATTTATTTAAATTTAGAATCTACATGGGAGAGATATATTTGATAAATAAAAGAATTTGTTCACATTACTATTTCGTCCATTGTTTAGTAATACACAATTATCGTTTTTTTTTAATATCTAGTGTAGGTACCATGTGAAATTCGAAGCGAAAATTTGAGATTAAATAATTTTTTTTTTCGGGTTTGCTTTATTTTATAAAGAGATTTACATTTTTTACACAGATATGTGTGTGCTTTTTTTTTTTTTTCGTGCTGGCCTATGAAATGTGCTTAGCCACTAAAGATGATAATATGTGTATGTATTGTTTGAGCCCTGCATGTAAAAATAAGTTTTTTTCCATGCTCAGTGTATACCGAAGGAAAATACGTTTTTCGTTTATATCGACGGTCCAGACCTTTGTAAAACATGTGGTTACTTCGTAATTCTACAAAGACACAAACTCACAAGAGCTTCAATTATGGAAATCGAGAAGTTATTTAAGTAGAGTAGGGGCATGGACTCTAAATTTATTTGTGCCATTAAATTTGACAGTTCGATACTGAATTCATCAAATTCAATGTTTCATATAGATTTAGGGAAAATTGTCCAAAAAGTCCTAAATTTATTACACTTTTGTCAATTTTGTCATAAACATTTTCAATTTTATCAATTGAGTCCTAAAGCCTTTCACGTTTTGTCAATTGAGTCCATCCGGCCAATTTAACCGGAAATTGCTGACATAGACGCTAACTGTCCTACATGGCATGGCCCAGCTGGCTCTGACGTGGATAATTTTTAATAATTTCTATTTTTTCTTTCTTTCCTTTTCTTTTTCTTCTTCTTCTTCTTCCAAGTCCGGCGAGTGTCATGGCCCTTGCCCAAATCTGGCAAGGGCCGAAAAGCCCTAGCCAACCGTGGACAAGGGCTTCGCGACTCTTACAAGGTCTGGGCGAGGGTCACAACTAGGGGTGAGCATGGTCCGGGTTGGGCCGGTCCACCCCCTAACCCTAGGACCAACCCGCACAGTGTTGGTCCTCAATTTTGGGACCGAGGATCGCCCATCGGTTCCATGGACCCGCCCGGGAACCGGACAGCCGGTCCTGTCCGGTTCTCGGGCGGGTCCATGGAACCGGTCCCACCAAGTTTTCCTGGACAAATAAAAAAAAAATATGTGGACCAACATCGGATCAACAGAACAAAAAGAAAAGAACATAATTTTCCATACAATTCCTATACTATGATCGGTTCTATTAACCACATCATCCATAAATCAAGTGGGTACCCATCAAATGAGTGTCCAGAGATAAGAGAGCAGAGAGTTATGAGTGTCTAGTTACGTTTTTTTATTTTTTTTGGTCAGATTTTTTTAATTAAAATTTTAAAAAATAAATATATTATTATTATATTACCGGTCCAGTTCGGGTGGGCGGTTCCACATTGAGAATCGGGAACCAGACCGATACCCACCGGTTCCAAAAAATTGGAATCGGGAACCGGACCGGTCCCCTTGGGAACCACCGGTTCCGGTCCGGTCCCGGTCCGGTCCCGGGCGGTCCTGGACGGTCCTGGGTTTTTTGCACACTCCTAGTCACAACCCTCGCCCTTGCTTGTGACCAGAGAGGGTTGTCTGGCGATCTTTGCCGAACTTGATAAAAGAAAAGGAAAAGAAAAAAATTAAAAAAATCGATAAAATATTAAAAATTGTCCACGTCGGTGCCGGTCCATGTCAACTATTTCCTGTTAAAATTGGATGGATAGACTTAATTGACAAAATATGAAAAGGTTTAAGACTCAATTAACGGAATTAAAATGTTTATAATTGAATTGGCAAAAGTGCAATAGGTTTAAAACTTTTTTAACAATTTTCCCTATACAGTTATCTACATGTACTAGACAATAACACCAAATATGCCAATAATGTCACAAGGAAATTGCTAGAGTTTCACTTTTAAGTAATTACCCACAAAGCTTTTAATATCAGCTCGGGATTACCCTATTGCATAATTTGGGTAATTGGTCCTTTGAACTCGGCTATATCTTCCTCCTCCTTTTGACGGAGAAATTTTCTCCTGCTTTTGACTAGTGAGTGATAGGTTACGGATATACTCGCATGCACAAACTTAATTATGAGCGATGTCTATATTTATAATTCACCAACCAAAAGATAGAATAAAATATGACTTCCGGACCATAAAAGATAAAACGTGACATCCGATCAGGGGTGAAATAAAACATGACTTTTCAAACCATATAAGATAAGCATCTTTAGATTTTCTCATGTTTTGTTTCCTATATGGTGAATCACAAGTATAAATTCGGATATTGCCTTGTCCTATCACATGAACAATCAGGAAGATATCAACATTAACGAAAAGTGTATGTTTGTGACCAGCCTTAAATAAAATTAAAATTTTTCTTAATTATCCACTAGTGTCGAGACACGTGTGATGGGAAGTTATGTATGAAAAAACAAGGAAATATTTTCAGTGTGATTATTTAATAGAGTGATATAGTGGTAACGGGTAGATCATTAACTACATTACTTTAACTTGGGCAGATAGCAGGAATCGAACCCACATCTTCTCCTAGGCAAAGAGAAATGTTACCATTCAACTATACTTTGCATTTTTTTTTTCGTTCTCGATACCTTGCCTACTACCGCCTGCGAAAGGGCAAGCAAGAGTGCAGTGTTCCTACTTGAGTACACAAAAGACTTCCTTTAAGATTTGCAACTCTTCTTTCTTTCTCTCAAAACGTGTCGCTGTTTCCATCTCTAAATCATGCAAAATAGTAATCTCACTTTAGCCTACTCCTGATATGCAAAGACACCTCTCTCTCTCTCTCTCTCTCTCTCTCTCTCTCTCTCTCTCTCTATGAATGAGAAAAATAGGATTTTTTTTTAAAATTTTGGCCATTGAAATAGGTCCAATAATGGGAATTAGTGGGCGTTTGTGATCAATTTGAGTTAGTTTTGTTACTCTGTCATTTTGTTAAGCTGCAAAATGTTATTTGCCATTGCAAAAACTCTTTCTTTGTCAATTGTTTCCTTCTGGAATTGTAGTGTGAGCAGACACGATTAGGTTTTATTCAAATTGTTGTGGTGGTGTTTGAGAAATTGTTAACATCAACATATTTGAAGATCTTTTGTACTAACTAAATTACTAGATTTTCTTTTCTGGGTGATAAATGGAAAAAATTTGGGTCAATATTCGTAGGACTCCTCCTGGAGATTACATTTTCTAACACTATTGGGAGTAGGATATTGTGCCTTGTATCAAATGCAATAATGCAGTTTCGAAAAACTCAGTGATAATGTGGGAGGAGGTTCATTTGAGTTTGAGATAGATCAGAATTATACTCGATGGTTCAATCATGAAGGGGATGTTTATGATGTGAATAGTTCATAGGGAAAATTAATCAAAAAGTCATAAATCTATTGCACTTTTCCTAATTCAGTCTTAAATCTTTTAATTTTGCCAATGGAGTCCTAAACCTTTTTACATTTTTCCGACTGATTCCATTTGGCCAAAATTCTTTGACATGAACACTGGATATCCTACGTGACACGGTTAGCATTGACATGGATATTTTTTTTATAATATTTTATTTTTATTTTTAATTATTTTTTTTCTTTTTTCCCTTCCTTTTCTTTTATTTTCTTTTTTCTTATTTGTTTCGCTCCCTTCTTTTTCCAAACCTTGGTCGATGAGGGCTGCGATGCCCTTGCTAGATTTGGGGGAGGGCCTGACACCCTCGACTGTGGCAGGCGGGCAAGGGCATGGAGGCCATTGCTTGTGGCCAGTCGAGGGCATGGAGGCCATTGCTTGTGGCCAGCGATGGTCGGCTGGGTTTGGAAAAAGAGGGGAAGGAAAGAAAATAAAATAAAAAAATGAAAACAAATGAAAAGAAAAATTAAAATTGTATGTCAATGCTGGTCGTGTCACATAGGACAACCAGTGTCCACGTCAGCGATTTTTGGGCAAAATTGACATGATGGAATCAGTTTCAAAACTTGAGAATGTTCATGACTCAATTGGCAAAAGTGCAATAGGTTTCAAACTTTTTGGAAAATTTTCCCATAATTTAGGTGAAGATGAATTTGATGAAGGAGACTGTTCAAAAGTCCAACCCAAAAACTTAAGCTAATAAGTGGAGGGAAGCCACATGAATATAAAGAGCATTTATGACCCATTGTTAAGCGATGTGAGATAATATTTTTACACCACTCTGAGGGTGGACACACATTCACGAAAGGATACCGAAAGTGTTGGAATAGCATCGAAAGGTGTCAAGGTTGGTGAATCCGAGATGTGGCGGAGCGTAACGGCATGGGGCACGGATGGTGATGAAATTTCAAGGTCTTGTTCTTTTGAGGGTGGTGAGTCTAATGGTGGTGTCAGTTTTGCAAAAGGAAATGGCGTAATAGCACTCAGAAGGACGTAATGTTACTACAACCACCACCTTGTTATGGTGGTGTCGGTTTTGCAAAAGGAAGTGGCGTAATAGCACTTGGCAGGACGTAATGTTACTACAACCACCACCTTGTTATAAACTCAATGGGCGCTTCCTCAATCTATAATAGGTCTGATACTATCTTAAAATGCCCAACTCAAAAGTTTAAGCTAATAGGTGAAGGAAGACTACATGAATATAGAGAGAATTGAGGATTCGTTATCAAGTGACGTGGGATAATAGTTCAAAAAGAGGCGACGACATGTTTATTGGCATCAACTTAAATGATCTAGAGAAAGCTCAAGGAAGTGGAGATATTGCAATGGATGATGATGAGATGCTTGAGAAAGTTCTTGGGCTGGAGAGAAATCAAGATGTATTCATGGCAGCGGTGGGGGTCCAAAAATCTGGAAAGCTACTTCCGGTAGAAAGATATGTGAATTTGCAGAAAAGAAAGTTCAAGAGGAGACTAGACGGGCAGATCAGGCCTCAAAATCCATGTAGGTAGCGAACGAAAAGATTGAGGAGCTTCAAGGCACGATTGAATCAATACAGAGTCAGATCGAAAGCATTGATTCCAAACAAGTTTCGGTTCTATTCGAGGAGTGAAAGAATGACATCATGAAGAATCGCTAAGCCTTGCCTTCAATGACTGAGGTAAATAGTTCGCTTCATAATGCAAGAAAATTACTAGTTCGAGGTCAAGTACATATAACTGATGCTCGAAAGCGAGAGATCTTGTTATTTATATCCTTCCATTAGATTAGTGTGGTGTTGTTAAGTAAGTTTTGGGCTTCAACGATCTTATTTTAAGTGCTTAATTCTACTCTCTTTTTTTCATATTATAACCACATTCTATGAAATTCTTTTAAGAGCTTCAAAACTAACTGTTACTGCAGCTTACATATATTTCTTTATAGGATGAAGATGAAGATGAAAAATTGGTCTAACTAGTCAAGTTGAGCATCTACTTATATTTCTTCCATGTGTTTCAATGACTTGCAACGTTAGCAAGTTTTAGCAACTTATCAGTTCTTTTGTTTTAGACCTTCGATTTCTTGGAGTGGTAATTGGATTGTAATCTTTAGTGATTAATAGATTATTAGTGGCGACATGTTTACGTGAACTTATCGAGGTTAGTTTAGACTATCAATACACATTTTATGTAATTTAACGAGGATCACATCTGGAGATGTTTTAATAAACGACCATTAATCTGAATAATTCATAACGTAATTATGTATTTTGACAACCATAGTTTAATGTAGAGTGCACTTTCTTATAATATAAAACTTGAATCCAAATTTTTTTCATGTAGAAAATATAAGTAAGTAATGACTTAAGGGTTAATACCATGAAAAACCTTAAACTGGTACACCTGTAACAAATTTACCTTATGATAGTTTCGTTTAAATTTTACTGTCAATTTGTTGAGTTGGATGACATGTAACAGTTGACGGGTATATCGGTTTGGGGTTTTGTCCCTCCGTTTGTAACAAGTTTATTAATTTGTGATCTTTCGTGAAATTAATCCAATTTTACTGACGGTAAATTTGCCACAGGTGTACTAATTTGGGGTTTTTTGTGATAAAAAAATTAATTTAGGATAAATTTATCACAGGTGTACCAGTTTGGGATTTTTTGTGGTATTAACCTATGACTTAATCCTTGACAGTTCCGATATGTCATTTTAATATATATTTTAAATTACTATCTAGGATTAACTTGGAATGTATATACTCACATAAACTACTGCCTTGAAATTATTATCCTCGATTCTTACTAACAATATCTAATTAGTGTATTGAATGTGATTGAAGCTATACTTTGACGAGACGGTAGATCCATCATTCTAAGTACATTTATAAAATATTTCTACGTATCTTTTCAAACTGTTGCCTCGCGACATTATGATTCTAAAAGAGCACAAATTTGAAATTTCTGATAGTAGTACTACTATGATTATATCGAGCTGTATTAATATATTTTGATTGTTAGTTTATAGTTTTTTTGTTATTCGAGACCGCGGGTGAATGTTAATTTAGTTGCAGAACAAAGCACAATGATAGGTACGAAAATCATAATTTCTATAAATTAGGTGATCCAAATGGAGACAAATTAAAAATTTGCAATCAAACTAGGATCAAGTGCAGATATCAGACTCAGACTACTAAAACTTGCAAGGAAAAGGTACTTTATTGTGGCTGTTTTAGGTTACTTTGCTAATACTTTTTCTTCCTTGCTAGATGTGGGTACCCATATGAAAAGTGCACCAAGATTAAAAGCAATACGAATAAAAACATAAGAGTACCTTCCATTCCACCTCAATATATTCTTGGGCACACAAGCAACAAGAATATATCCAGCTCATTCTTCTTGTTTATTTCATTAAAGCCACACAACTCACACACAAACAAAGTTCAACAGAACGAAATCGAAAAAAAGACATGTTACAACATATTATTCAATTCTTGATCCTCGTAATCATGCAAGAGAAAGAGCCCCACACCTAGCCAACAGCAAGAACTGCCATTAACTAACCAAGCGGAAAGGCAGAGAGGGAGCGGCAGAGAGGGAGAGGGAGAGAGAGAGTGAGTGAATTTTAGCCTTTGTGAAGTAGTCCTTGTGAAGAAGCAGCCAATGCACAATCCATTGGCTGAAAACCCAACCTTCCATTCTCCAAGTCATACACAACCTCCACATTTTGTTGTTGGAAGCTCCCAAAAACCCCAGCTGGTCCATCACCATCATCCATTCTCTGGAACAACAAGCACTTGACCACACTTGAGTTGATTGGAGCTCTCATTGCATAGAAGCTATTCCCATGAGGAAGCAACAAGGCCACATTGTTCAAGAAATGGAGTGTGATTGGAGGGAGGTCATCATTCATTGGGTTAGTGTTGTTGGGACATGGAACCTTGTAGCAAAGATCGAATCCGCTTCGTGCCTCCACTTCGTTGGCCCTCGGGTAACTTATTGCTAACTCTAGGATGGAGAGAAGCTGTGAATAGAACGGTTCCGGCAAGTGGGTGTACGTGGTTCCCGAGTCTATCAATAGACCCCCGTTCCCTTGAGAGTCGAACTCTCGCAGATTATTAGGCGCGGTGGTCACGCTTGTGTTCCCCACCGTGATGCCCTCGAGACCGATGTAGTAGTAATTGGGGTAAATTGGACTATTCATCATTGGGGTGAACTGCAAGTCTCCCTTTGGGGCTATGGCCACATCTCCTATGACTAGAGGGCTTGAGATGTTGGGGTTGTTTGCATACTTGAACGCCAAGAAGCAATGGGAAAAGCCCTTTTGGAGGAACCCTAATTGAGAAGGAAGAGAAAGAGATCCCCTCCCAAACCCCGCAAGCCCCATCGGCTCATGGTAGGTGGACCCGACACACCCAAACGCAAAATTTGGAATTTCCCTTACAACATTAGGGTTAGCACTATGAACCCTGATAGTATCCCTAGTCAATATCCCGGCGACGATCCCGCCCGCACCGTAAGTGTAGGCAAAGGAGGGGCATGGCCAAGCGCATGTGCCCTTGAGGATAGTCGATAATGAGCATCCAGCAATGATGCACGGGTCATATGGGTTATCTGAGCTATGAACATCTGTGCAAAACCGGCTAGAGCAAGTGTCTCTAAGTGTTGATGAGGAATAAGATGGAGAGAAAGCGGCATTCAGTTTGTCGTTCCTATAATCATCACAATCCATGCAATCAAAAGACAAGTTCCCGCATGGAACCCATGTGAGATCACTACCGGTATCTAAATATACTTGAATGACTTGGGAGGGTGTTCCTATGTTGAGAGATATGAGGTAACCATCTCGAGCTTCTCTTAGAGGCTCCACCATGTCTTGCATTTCCAGGGTCTTTCTTCTCGAATAAGGTGAAGCTTTCCGTGATGGAAGCTCGGTTCGGGAACTTCTCAGACCTAGCACGAGTGAACTAGGGTTTTCCTCACTTGCAAAGCAGAAGCACTTGTTGGAAGTAGGAAATACATAAGAAATCAGGAGAAGTAAGGAAAAGTATGTAGGCTTATATGCCATCTTGAGCTCTTCTTTGTTTAGACAACTATGCTGATGCTATTCCAAGAACCCTTATTTATAGAGAGGTGGTGTAGTGATAGCCCAAGGATTTTGAGATGAGGTAACCGAAGAAACACGTATTGCACGCACACAGAAGATGAAGCTGCCTGTTTAATTAAACCATTCATTTCAATCGCCTAGGAAAATTGATTTTGTGTAACATTTATATCACATGATGTACGATACCATTACCGTGGCATTGTAGATTGAGCTAATGGTTTAATTAAACAATTCATTTCAATAGCCCGGTAAAGTTCAATTTGAATACTCAACTTGCTGATAATTGATGTCATGTTTGCATCTCATGTAATGTCAGTAATACGAATGTTTAATAAGATTGATATATTAAATGACACGTTAATGTACAAAATCATGGCTAATTAAAGGTTTTATGTTTTCGGGCATAGGCGACCCATAGACAAAGTAGCTGAGTTAAATTGAATGAATGCGTGATCATTTGAGACTTCGTGCATTTCTCTTATCTAAAATATTAATGCTAGCTCTATACAAAAAATCGGTTGTAAAATTACTGCATATATAACGTGGCAACCTTTTATTAAGTGGTTTAACATGATTTACATATTCAGAATTACTTTCCAATTAGAAATCAATTTTATGTATAAGTTGTTATCTTTCTCACTGTTATTTAAATCTATCGTATCACTTTGTAAATCAATTTTCTATGATAATTTTATAATCTTTGGCATTATAGAGAGAGAGAGAGAGAGGAGAAATTTGGGTAGGCCTAGACTTAATCAATTTTTTGGCCTTCCATTATATGATTGGCACATGGCAATTGTGTCTCACTTGAGCCACATCAGAAAGTAACACTCGATTTCCACCAAACCCTAACACATCCACCTCTCTCTCTCTCTCTCTCTCTCTCTCTCTCTCTCTCTCTCTCTCTCCCCTTAACCAGCCGCTGCCGTTTTAACCTGTCGAAGCCACCATATCTACCATCGTCACTTACAACAACAATGACATCCACCACCTGCATCTCTGCTTGCGTTAAGTCACGAATGAGCAGAGAAATATAAATCCGACTTTGGGATCTGAACTACTGAGGACCCTCAACGCCGTTCAGTGTCTTTCACAAAAGCAGTGGCAGAACACGCCGCATGGGCACGAGAGAGAGAGAGAGAGAGAGAGAGAGAGAGAGAGAGAGAGAGAGAGAGAGAGAGAGAGAGAGAGATGGCGTCGCTATAGGGTGGCCGCCATTTGTTCTGGCAACGGCCGCCGTGAATGGTGCAGGATAGAAGGAGGGGGCGGCGGGAGAGAGATTGACAGGGAACTTCTGCTGATGTGTTCATCACTAAGTGAAATCAGCACGTGGCGGGAGATGAATGGAGGGTCTGTCGTGGAAGAATCAATTGCATGGATTATTACTTACAGAGGAAAGGTGGCGATTGAGCGGCGCCCCATGAATGGATAAGCAACATAAGTTGACAGGTACGATATCATCCCCAAAGCCAAAGGGAAATCAGATTAGTGCGCATGCTTTAAGGTTAAGGAGTACTTGGGAAGCATCATTGTGATCATCATTGGAGATTTACAAGTAGGTTTCTGGCAGAATAAGGTATCAACTCGCACTTCTTCGTGCCTCATTTCGTGTCCCACAAAATATTAATGTTTAAAGTGCTCACGAGACCATCGTCTCGATGCCAGTGGGAGGCACGAGTTAAGAAAGGAATTAACATTTAAACGAAGGGCGAGGTGTACAGATAAATGCGAGGTACGCAGCAAAACCCTCGTGGATGCATGTGCCCTAGTATGTATGTTCTCTTATTCTTTGTTATTGGAATCATTTATAATTTGTAATTTGTACTTATTTTGAAAGTTTATATGAAGAGAAGAGATGTGTTTCTTATCTTTCCAAAGCTATCGATTCAGTGTTCTACATTATAGCCTAGAAAAAGAGTACGAAGTCCACATCTTCTGAGATCTTGTAACAAATCGGTTTGATCAAGTCAGGTATATAATGAGTGGCAAATCTACTATTGCTCTCTAAATCCAAAAAAAAAAGGGGTAAAAAAAGATATATACAATGGTATTGGTTTGATATTACCGTCATAAATCAAGGAAAATGTATCTTTTGTTCAAATTCAGAAGAAGGTGTTCATAAATTAATATTGGGTTGATTTTGAGAGAAGGATTGCGATCTGAATTTACATTCTTGGAAAGTTGACATATTAGCTGCTTGACCTCGCCACCACTCCACCCCGACCCGACCCACTCCGCTTTAGGTCCAGAGGCTGTGACCTAAGGCAATCCAAATTGAAGGTCACCCTAGTAAACCTCCACTACATCAGTGATTTGTGCGGTGGTCGCCACTGCACGAATCTACGGGTTGTTTGCCAGAGGGGAAAAGTGTCACAAAAGTCTTAAACCTATTGCATTTGTGTCAATTTAGTCATAAACTTTTTGACGTAGTACTAATTCAGTCCTTCCGGCTAATTTTGATCAGATATTGCTAACGTGGATGTCGGCCGGCTTACGTGGCAGCGTTGCACGGCCGGCTAGAGAAGAAGGAAAGGAAGGAAAAAAAAGGAAAATGAAAGAAAATGAAAAAAAATGAAAAATCAATCAATCAAAAAAATATTAAAATATTATTAAAAGTTGTCCACGTTGGCGCCAGCTATGTTACGTAAGCCGGTCAGCGTCCAAGTTAGCAATATCCAGCCAAAATTAATTGAAAGGACTAAATTGGCTCTGCGTCAAAATATGTAGTACTGAATTAGCATTACATCAAAAAGTTTAGAACTAAATTGACACAAATACAATATATTTAAGACGATTCTACACTTTCCATTTGTCAGAGAGGCTCATATGGAGAGATAGCAAGCTAACAAGGAGGTGGAAGGGCTACAAGCGACGACAGGGCGAGCAATGGTGGTGGCTAAGCGTGTAGAGAGAGAGAGAGAGAGAGAGAGAGAGAGAGAGAGAGAGAGAGAGAGAGAGAGAGAGAGAGAGAGAGAGAGAGAGAGAGAGATTAAGTTAAGACCGAGTTAACAACAACGGCTACTCCAGTAGATGAGGCATTCTCTTACCTACAAGAGGTCACAAGGTCGAACCTACCATGCCTCAACACTTTCTATTTTAACCTAGAGTTGGTGAAGTAGGTTGAGGCATTAGAGGATTTCCCACTCAAAGAGTGGAGGTTACAATTCAAATTGCACCAACTGTGTGCCAACTATTTTGGGTCAGGGCCACCTGTACAGGCCAAAGGTCTAAACATAACATGTATAGGAGACTTCCAGAATGTTTCATAGACCTCTGGGATGCCAAGTCTCCATGCCTGTACCCGTGAGCTTTCAAAAGAAAAGTTGAGACTCAGTTCGTCCATAGGGCAACGATAACAAGTGCGACGTGTGATGGCCACCGAGAGCAAGTGACAAGGGAGGCTCGATGCAACGGTGGTTGTAGTTGTGTGGCAGGTGATGTGGGAGGAGAAAGAGATGTTTCGTTTAGGATTTTAGAGGATCCAGATTTGTGCATGGTGGGTTCGACCTCCTAACATTTAAACAAAACATGAAGGATTTCGAAAATATTTTTTCTAAAAATGATTGCTTGCATTGTGGGAAAATTATCTAAAAAGTCCTATACCTATTGTATTTTTACCAATTTAATTATAAACTTTTTCATTGTGTCAATTGAGTTTCAGACATTTTCACGTTTTGCCAATTGAGTCATCTGGTCAATTTTGGTAGGAAATCGCTGATCTGGATATCAACCGTCCGACGTAATGCCGTTGGCACTGACGTGGAGCGGTTAGCCGACGTGGAGAATTTTTAATAATATTTTAACATTTTTAGATTTTTTATTTTCTTTTATTGTTTCCTTTTCTTCTTCCTCTAGCCGATCGCAGAACTTGGCAATGGCCGATGACCGACTAGAGGCGAGGACCGGCGAGGTCAACCTCATTGGCCCTCGCCTCAGGCCAGTCGCAGAGGCCTAGCTACCGACTAGAGGAAGAAGGGAAAGAAAAATAAAATAAAGAGATTGGCAAAAGTGTATTAAGTTTATGACTTTTTGGACAATTTTCCCCATGTATTACTCACAAAAATAAACGAACAAAATATATTCTCATTATACATGAAAATATTTAGACATAAATTGTCATCAACAATGAAAACATTTTTCATCGACTAATTATTTCGAGTGATATGAGCGACTATTTCTTATAAAATATTTTCCAAGTTATTTATCTTTTTCGCGAAATAAACGGAGCCCGAGTCTATATATATATTTAGGCGAACATTGATCAATAGTGCTCAACAACTAATCAGATCATCGAATTCCTTGAAATGGCGTGAATTGTGCCGGATCTTTTGCACCTTTTCGTCGCGAATGCATAACGTGTTCGACCCACTATTTTATGTAGTTTCGTACTTAGATCGAGGCACTCCGAGACCACTTTTGGAACCTTTTTCTTTTGGCTACTGTACTTTGATAAGCTAGTGCTGACAAGGAGATGGCGCAACATCCCGGAATTCTAGAGCATCTTCTTGAGATCGACGCTAATAAAATTATAGTGTTTGCTATGCTGACCACATATATTCCTTAAAATTGCAAGTTGAGTTGCGATTTCCTGAGCTGATTTATCACGCCTCGTTGGAACAGAATATTCAAAACCCTTTTAAATATGCGTTTCGGATAACAAGGGGGACCCTTCAATTGTACTTTAACAAATGTTTTTTTTCCTTTAACTACCTGACTTTTTCGTTTGTACTTTAGTGGTTATTTTAAGATCAATTGGAGTCCTTGTG